AAATGGTCACTTCAGCAGTGGGCTCAGTGGGAGCCGCTTTCCTAATCCAAAACATGTGTGCCATGCAAGTGCTTGCTTGTTTGATCTCATTTTCTCACTACAACATCACCTTACAAAAGACTCTTTAAGATTCTAATAAAGGCAAAAAACAACACTTTGAAAGTTTTTTTTTTATTATTTGTCCTTTTTAACAGAAGATATTTTGACATGTCACAGTAGGAACAGCACAGGTGCACATAATACAATTAATGATGGCTGAATTCTATTTAGCTGCCTCGGTTTCAAGGTCCTGGTATTGTGTTGTATTGTATTGTATTGTATTGCCATGAGCCATAGTTAATGTCATTAGTGACAGCGTTGCTTTTCCTACTGCGACAAGTCAAAATGTCTGCTGTAAAATACTTCTATTTACATATTTGTCCACTATAGTTGTAACTAGAGACCATCTTTGCGATGGGATCACACCCAAATCAGCCAATGGCTCCTTCCCCTCTTCCTACTGCCTTACTTCTGCTCAGAGGCGGAGCACACCCATCATCAAACTCGTCCTTCATTTCCATCTCAACTACACACCTGTAAAGTTTTGTAACTCCTTCTAGCACGATTAATATGCTATCGTGGCGACAAAATCTGTCCACAAGAACTCAAAACCACCTCTGTGGTAGTTCCTGCTACAGTAGGTGTCTCCAGACATATTTTACCATGATCACACACACACACACACACACACACACACACACACACACACACACACAGACTCACAGTCACTGTCTGACTTCTTGAAGTTGTCACCTGTTGCGTTTAAGAATAAATGAAATAACTCCTAACACTAAAAGCTGCACCTACATCTGTAAGAATATCGGTCATGTTGAAGAACTAGTCTGCACTCACCTCACAAGGACGGCCTGAACGTTTTGGGAAATCCTCCATCTCCTTTGGGGATGAGTTGCAGTCAGTTTTCAGTCAGCTGGAAGATACACATGGAAGAGTGCTGAGTTGAAAACAGCATGAGTGAAAAAAATAAACCCAACTCAAAGGTCCACGTACTAGCTTTGTCAGAGCTGTCAACCGCTTCTCACAGTCTTTGTCAGAGATATTTGTTATTATGTGACCACAGGACACCTGAGCCAGCACTGATGTGCCATTTCCAAAATCCATATTACATACAGTACCTATGTTAAGCAGGTTTGGAGTGTGTAGTGTGTTAGAAAAGAGTCAGATATACAGTATAAATATACTGTATCTGCTGTTGATGCATACTATTCTCCCACAATGCAATACACTAAGGAAATGGAGGAGAAAATGAATTGCGGGTGGTCGTGTTTTATGGAAAACAAAAACTATTAAATCTTCGGAAAAACATTTTTCAAAAGTTGCAGTTTGATTGAAATTAAAACTTTGCGCCATTTCATGTTAGCATAAAATTACGAGGTATGTTGAAATGTCAGTAAACTAATTGCTAGAACTATGACAATTAGTATTTATGTAGTACATACTGTGTAGAAGTAGCACGTAGTATTAGATTTGGGACACGGTTATGGAGATGAGTTGCAGTTGTAAGCATGTACATGGACCTTTGAGTTGAGGTTATTTTGTCACACAAAAGAAAACTATTATGTGGGAACTATAAGTGACACTTATGATGCAAAGATAAAATACTTTGTGAAGATGGTTCATGGGACAATGATCAGAAACAGCACCAGCCTCGATACAGGAATTGGCAAATTAAGTGGTGTCAAAAGCAATAAAAGAAAAACAATATCTGGCTTCTCATAAACCATCAGACGGTAAACTAGGGTTCCCTGATGTGATTAATACCTGATGGATCAGTATATATCCTCAACTGCACATATTGCAAAAGCTCCGAGAGGTGATCGCGCTGTAGCTCGTAAGCAGTCTGGGAAATGTTGGGCGAGTTCATCTCAGCAGCAGGACTCCAGAGCGCTGCTGGGAGGAACACCAGAGAGCATCATTTGATTAGCAGCATTATCACCTTTATTCCTACCGATTCAGTGCACACAAACACACAGGCATCCAAGGTTATTGCAGGTCTGTTTCGGCTCAATATTGGCTGCCTCACTCAGAGCCTACAATTAATTGTTCAAGGCCTTGGATTTCTCACATAAAAACAAGTTTTTATTTTCCTCTCCGAGCGAGCCAGGCGCTATTACTTTGTGAGTTTTGAGAATCTAAAGGACTCACTTGTCTTCCTCAAAGTCATTTTAATCTCTGCTGCTCCGGCTAATAAACATCTCGCAGTGAAAGAAAGCTCATAAAGAAGAAGAAGAAGAAGAAGAAGAAGAAGAATTGATTGGCTCTCTCTGAGCTAATCAATTCCCCTAAAATATCTCAATTGGATGTGGTGTTTATGAGGTACTTTTCTTTTGTTGATGTACTCTACTCAGCAATTATGACCTCGTCACATCTTTAAGGATAAAAAGTAAATACACACACAAAATAAAACATACACTGATATTAATGTCGAATGGTATTATCTATTTTTGTCTTCTTAAACGTTTTGAAATCAGCACAAAGAAGCGCTCCTAGTCACCAGGGAATTAGTTCGGTAGAAGGCGAGAAACAACAGAAAACTAAAAATTTTAATTGGGTTTACTTCATAAAATATGACTTAAGCATGAATTCAGGCTCAGTCAAAATTTAGAATCCTGATCAAAGCCTAAACTAGTCTTCCCTTCCAGGGCTGCCCGTTCGCATCCATCATCTCATATCCAGAGAGGCTTATTACTCAATATTCTGCCTTGTATTGGCAGCGTCATTGTTTGCCTGCATGTCAGTTGCATTGTGGGCCACTGTTGCACCTGAGCCAGAAGGCAGAGCGATGCAGGTGATTAATGCTCACAGGACAGAGGGCAGATAATAAATAAACAAACAAGCCGCCCATTCGCTGTTCGAGGAAGCGGCGGCTGCCTCCTGCCATCTGTCGTGGAAATAACTCTGCTGCTGCATTTTCGTCTGCGTTAAGGTGACAGGAGAATCTACAGTATAAGAGACCTGTTAATGTTTGAATATGTGTTTCCTTTATTAATAATACACACTTCATATACATCTCTCTCTGTGTATTAACAGTATGTCAGTGACCCCGGGGTGTGTGATGCACAGATGTGCTGCATCACAGCTTTGAGTCATGAAGAACCTGATGGAAATTCATGGCTGTTTTTGACACAATTGTTCGAGACCTACAAAAACTATTTCAAGAAGCTCAATTAGTTCTTGTTTGTTTTCTATGTTTGCTGTTCCACTCATCACTTATTGATTATGTATGGCCCCAAAAGGCTGCACACGTTTTATTAAGGGAGAGCTTCACAGAAGGTAGAGGTTGGACGGACAACGCCCCCTGGTGGTTAAATACGCATAAACACACAGCAGCACAATCAGAGTTTGATGCATATTTTTATATCAATTTGACAATTGATTTTTTAGGGGCAACAATTGAACAAAGGATTCATTACTTCCCCGAATTTTTACTTTCAGCATCTTTTCACCGAAGGTTTTGTTTTTTGGAAACCGAGAGCTGAGCTAATAGGAGACTTAATTACTGACATTTCATAAAGTGGACATAAATGATGCCTCCAAATGACTGCTAATGTTGCTCCGCATCTGCTGGGTGTGTAAATACACAAGTTAGCTAACAAGCGACTTTGTCAGCATGTTTCTGCTGCTAGCAAAAGTGACCAAGAAAAGTGTATTGCAGGTTTTAATTAATGCCACTATAGTAGCGTCAAACCCTAGTATTTCTAAACTCCTGAGCACAATATCATGTGTAACAAGGAGCTTACTGAGCTAACTAAATCAATACAGGCAGATTTGGCTGCTTGAGTCTTTTTTAATGAAATGGGTTTCTAACATAAAGATTTCAAAGCTTCTAAAGAAACAAAATTATAGATGCAACATCCGCAGAAACGTTCTCACAGTGGACATTTTGACTTGTCTGACACAGATGTTACTGATAACATAAATACTGGCTGTGTTCAGTTCAGATAAAGTAGTTCCAGGGCTCTGGTATTGTGCTCACTGATCATCAGAATGCTTCCCAAGAGCCCTAACTGACATGGAGCCATTGTTACTCAGCATCTGTGCTTTTTCTGTACATGCCTGCCATTAAAAAAAAAAAAACCTTGAAAGGAGTTTAGAAAAGTAGTGCCTCTGTAATGTTATGTTTTACTGGCCCACTGGAAGAGTACAACAGAAAAAAACACAACGAAATAAATGTACATTTCTAGTCATACCAAAGAAGTATCATGTTGTATGTCTACTGCAACAACTTCTAGCGGCTGTTATAATATTGATCCCAATCAATCGTTCATGCAGAAAGCATTCTATTACTAACACAGTTGTTACTACTAAGAAAGGCCAACATGCTGTTAAAAAAGACGATCAGAACCAAACGTGTTTTTTTAAAATACTTTATTTAAAAGGGACTCTTGAGCATTAATATCTCATTTCCCTACCACCAATGTCGACCGTTATGTGCCATGAAATACAAGCTGGCCTGGAAGCTGTCTCCACACACAACGCCGATTTTATGTATCACAAAAAAAAAAAAAGATGCATGTTGCAACAAATTAAAACACGATTGTTAAGCAAAATATTTTTTTGTGAACATCATGCAGAGAATTTCCTAATTCAGACATCACAGGCAGTCATATCAACAGCATTGTTTATGCATAACATACCATTGCATCACATTTGCAGTACGCACTTGTGGTGTCAGCTCCAGCTATAAAGGCAGTTCATACTCTACAGTTACTCTCTCTTACATACCCACACACACTTAATACTTTTAAAGATGTACATTTACACACTCTTGCGCACACACACAGATACACAAAAACATGTACAACAAGACAAAAAGACTTGATTTGGTCCAGTTGATCAGAGGGCTGCCATCACTGGCACACACACGTAGTTATTCGTGAGAACCAGGAAGTATTCAGTACCAAACTTGAGAAAAAAAAAAATGTATGGGCCAGTTTCAATGATGCTGACAACAGTCAGTCTCATCAATGTGATGGTTGCAAAGTCACAGTTAACTTTTCATGTTTCAGTTTTCTCTGGGATTTCAGAGTTTACTTTTCCACACCCACATACAAATACATCTACAGTTAGAATAAAAGCTGAATATATATTTTCTGTTATAACTATACAAGTCAGACGTAGTACAATCAAGTACAATCTTGGTTTAAGACCACCGCGTTTCTTTCAAATGTCCACAAATTATAGGGATTGTTCTCTGAACTTTGACTTGTTTTGCTTCTTTACTTTGTCAATATTTTTGCTGAAAGGATTTAATCACATTTTTCCATGAAATATAAAAATCAATGAATAACTCCCTCAGTTTTAATACCACAGGCAATTCTCATACAAACACAATCTCACATGAAAATTGACACAGTCTGGTGTCAGACATAAAAACACATTCATTTTAAGTATATTACATATTTATAATGTGACAGTAACTATTTTTTACCATACAAGGAAAACATCTTGCCATCAGAAAGATTAACAATTGCACATAATGATTGGCTAAAATATTTCAGTGATACAGGGAAACATAAAACAAATGGAAGTTATTCAAAATAGAGCAATATTTCAACAAAATTGTATATTTGCTGTTCTTATACATTACAAAATGAGGACATGATTTTCTCTCAAATGTTAAAAAAGCTGCTGAAAACATAAAAAAAACAAGATTTGTGTACAAAAAGCGGTGTTTTAAAACAGACCTTTGCTTTTCTTTAGATTATTTTGCTTCCAGTTTGGCAGAGCGTTGAACTCAACTCGACTCATCTCAAGAAGTGTCTGAAAAACATGAAAGTAAGAGGAGAAAAAAAAAAAAAAATGTTGATCAATTTTGGACTGTGTGTACATGTATATTTGCTGTATGACAATGTGACTGCAGCCAAGTTCCCTACCTTGAAGTCCTGGTCAGACAGGTAGACCTCCAGCCGTAGAGGGTCCACTCCCTCTGGTAGCGGTTTCCTGGTCAGCTCCTCGATGGAGTACTGCAGCTTACTGAGCTGAGATAGCGCCTCCTTTACTAACATCACCTTGTTCTTGGAGCTTTCCGCCTGCGTACACGTGTCATTCACAGCACGTAAAAACAAATGCAAAACAGAACTTTTGCAGTCTCCACGGCTCTATTTGTGTAGGACTGAATTATACATGAATCATAACAGATTTTAAATTATATTAAAATATGGGTAAATGGATCATTCCTGCAGGAAATAATGCGGCGCTCTGGAGTTTACTGAGGCTGAAATGACACTGGTTTCAATCCAAGATGGTGAAGTTATGCTCCGCTTGCTACAGAGACAATGAATTAGGCATTTAAACTCTCTATTGTTCTCCGTTTCACTTCTGTCTGTAGAATTTATACTCTGCACTTTTTATTTTCTTCACTTACTTTACACTGAACATAATTCTGCATGCCAGCTTTAAATAGACATGTCTGGGGCATGACACCTTATCTGAACAGATCTGGTTGAATGAGATGATTTGGATTCCTTCTAGTGTCAACATACTGTACATGGAGAACAGCAGTCTCCTGTCTTAGTTGTGATATACTGGGACAGCTCTCTTAACCCCAACTGAGACATCACAATAACAAAAAAAAAAAAAAAAAAAAAAAAAAAAAAAGAAGTCTCCCACCTTTGTGATACTGGTGTCCTTCTCCCAGTATGGGAAGATGTTGGTGAAGGTGAGAGGTTCACAGCCTGCTAGGACCAGATACGCCAGAGGGGGGCGCCGAGGGTTCTTCTCTATAAATCACACCACAGTGAAGAAGATATGAAAAACATGCGTTTGAGTTCAGTTCCAAATTCAGATATCCACTCTATCGGGACGAGTAATAGCAGTATTTCTTTAAAGACTATTTGGGGAAGTGTTTGGCTCCTAAAAATGTCCGGATCAGTTATTGTATACGCAGACTATTTGTCTCCAGTGGTCGTCTGAACTCTGACCTTTGCAGTACTGCAGCACAGTCTCCATGGCACACTTCCTCTCGTTGTTCCAGCGCATCTTTGCAGAGCCGGTGCACTGCGTGTCTTCGGGCTGCCAGCCCTGCCACAGGTACACCTCCATACGGTTATCCAGCAGGAACAGGGCTGGAGAAGCAAAGACAGCAGAGCACTTACGTGTACATCCAGTAGCACCGAGAGGTAATGTAGTCCAGGTAATGTTAGGCAGACAGCAACAATAAAACATATCCACCGACAGAGCAGCCTGTGAAAGAGTCTTTTAAACACACCAGCACCTGACATGTCTACAGGTGTGTGTGGTACCTGGCTGGTGTGCGGAGTAGAGGTTCTCCTGCAGGAAGGGCATGGCCATGACTCCCTCCGTCACCCTGGCTGGATACAGCCGCTCCTCCCCCTCGAACAACCCGGAGCTGGCGCTCAGCCGGAACAGCCGCGGTGTGAAGTTGTACTTCCCTGGATCTGGAGACAACACACACACACACACACACACACACACACACACACACACACACACACGCACACACACGCACACACACACACACACATCTGGTCACACATTAGCGATACATATTTTTCTCTCTATTTATTGCTGATAACTAGGAATTGGTTTTAAGTGTGTGAATGTGAGGATGCACCTTGCAGCATACAGTCGTAGGCCTTCTTGTCCTGCGGGCCCAGAGCCTTCTTGAACTCCGCAGGTTCAGATCCTTCCTCCACCTCCTCAACTTTCACGCCGCTTGTGCTGCTCAAACTCAACTCCGAGGAACACCTTGAAGACCCAAACACAGAAACACCGTCGGTCGACCACGTTATGTCCATCCACAGGTCATCTATTTGTCCATCTGCCCTTTCCTTACCTCTGGGTTAGTTTGTCTGCGGCTCTTTTGGCCACCTGCCTGGCACTCGCATGTGCTTTACAGCCGTGCCACAAGAAGAGAAGGCCTTTCTGAGCATTGAGAAGCACCAGGCTGGCACGAGAGCGCAGACTGGCATGCTGGCGATCTACCTCCACCAGTGAGGCCTCCACCTCTGCCTCACCCCGGACACAGAACAACCGCCAGCCAACTGGAGAAGTGAATCAGAATTTTTGTTCAACTGTTCGATACAGTATTTTATAAAATGAGCCGAAGTCTCTACATGAATCCGCAGTAATACAGCACATCACTGAAAACAATAAACAATGTTTTTGGTGTTTTGTACCTGTGTTTTGGGCATAATCTTCTCTACTGCCCTTGTGGATGATCAAACCTCCCTGGAAGAGCTGCAGGAAGCACGGAGGCTCTTTTCCCTCAGTCACCAACACCTGGAGAGCCAATCAGATACAACGGATGAACACAGACACACTTTCATTAAATCCTACTTGAACACAGCCATTCATCTGTTCATATCAAGTTAACAGATGAATGGAAGAAACACAAACTAACTATGAGTCCTAATCAGGAAACTTTACCTTTAAAAATGACATTTTATTGATTGTGTGTGGCTGTGACGGACTGATACCCACTTGTGACCCCCTGTGGCTGCCCAGCTCCACTGTCATCAGAGCAGATGTTCCTTTCTCGCTGATGCTGGAGTGACTGCCTTGCCAGAAAAAACAAGCGGTCCTCTCTCTACCTGGAGCACCGGCACTCAGCTCCCCGGGTTTCTGCCGCTTGCCCACTGACAGAACAAAACATGAGCAAACCCAGCGGGTAAAATCAGGATTTCTGCTTCCATTTTGGACTAAAATGTAAAACTTAAGAATTTCTTCTTTCTACACCTTGTTAACCACACTTAACTGTGCTTCTTCCCTCTAAGCACAAATGCCATTCTTCAGTTGCACTCCATCATGATTAAAAAGCGAAGTCAGGCAGATCGATGCCATTAATCTTCCCCCCGGTCTTACTACATTGTCGCCATATTAAAACCTCCTATTTAACACGTCCGCTGTTTGTTCTTTAGGCTACCTCTGTGCCAAACGCACGACTCACCGATTGTGGTGATGGAGTACTTCCAGCGGATGATGTAGGCATCGGCCTCGTGCAGTTGGCCCAGGCTCTCTTTTGGCAGTTCCTCCTCTCCGTGCTCTTTGATGTGCCAGGCGTCTACAGCGACTGTAGCCAACTCTGCCTGTCGTCCGTCATCGGCCCTCACCAGGCCATGGCCCCGCTGGACGTTCACCCCCTCCAGAACCGTCTTCACCGGCCCCGGCTCGTTGTCCAGCAGGGCCTTGGCGTCACATGGCTGCAGCTCCAAGTCAAAGGAGGGCCGTTCAATGCAGTGGACGGGGCTCTGAGCAGACAAAGAACATTCTCAGTTAGTTTCAAATGTGTTGCATTAGTCGGGATATTCATGAATTTAACAGCTACTTCTTAATTCCTCAAAAACAAATTGTCAGATATCTGCAGATTTAACAGGCAACGAGAAAAAAAACACTGATTCACACATTACATGAAGGCAGAGTCACTGCTAAATTAAAAATCCAAACACCCGTAGCCTAATCTCTTCTACCTTGACTTCATCTGCTTGAGCTGCCTCCTCCTTCTTCCTCTCGGCCCAGTCCAGGAACTTCTCTCTGAACAGGGACGTCTCATTGTGCTCCGACAACCGGCCAAACAGAGTCCAGCTCGGACGACCCTCCCCCTGCCTGGAAATCACACAAAAACGTCTCCTCTCAGCAGCTGTACTGGCAAGATAAAACCACTAGGGGCTACAACAACACAACCAATAACGCTCACTTTGTATCAGATAAAACTGCATTTATTAAGTACAAAGCTAGATAGATAGATACAGATAATACAGTTATGTTAAAAGCTATTAAAAGGGATCAACATGTGATACTCACTGAGGCACATCCGAATCTGTGAAGGAGGCATCTAAAGGGTTGACTCTGTAGGTGCTGTAGTCATAGCTGCCGCTGTAAAGCTGTTTGCCCAGTTTCACAGCAACTTTTCTGTCACCCAGGGGCACGTCTTTCCCATGCCACACGTACACTTCGCTGCCAAAATCAAACACTAAGACCTGGTGTGGGGCGTTGGCAGCAGTGGGGGGAGAGAGAGAGATGGATCGCAGTTAAAAAACAGATACAATGTGTATTCAAATGTCTGTCAGGACTATCACGGGTGCTTTATGAATATTTCTACCATCTCTTTTCACACTTTCTAAGCAGGTCCCAGACTTGGGAGTAGGGGTGTTACCTCTTTAGAGTCGAGCAAGGTGACACTTGGAATGGAAGCCCAGGCTTCTTCGTGAGGCACCAGTTTCTCTCCCTGGAGTCTGTACACCCCGTTAGAGTCCAACACCCCATTCTCATACAGCTCGTCCTCCTCTGGCTCCCCTGCCCCTAAAACACACACACACACAGCACAAAAAGACAAGGTTATGAGACAAGGGCTGTTTGTGCCTGAGTTAAATACAAACTGCTTGTAATGGTGTTGGAGAGACAGATATCATTAACGAGTATGAACCTCTGTATTGGGTTTGTCCGCCCAGCAGGCTCCAGAACTCTTTGGCCCATCTGGTGTCGGTGTTGATGCCCTCCTCCAGCACCGTCACCTGGGACGCCTTACACCCGAGGTCCCTCTTTGCCTGAACAAACGCTGCCATCTCCGACGCCTGGCCACACAAAAAGCACATCGCACATGTCAACATCTGTATTCAAGTGGAGAATTTGACGTTCTGCGTCGTCCCCCTGTCTAAACATTCAAATCCAACAACTGGTTGTGGATCCCGTACGCGAGGTTCTCTACCTTAGCTTTCTCAATCACGTTGGCAAACTCTCCGCTCCACATATAGCAGTGCTTCGGTGTTATGAGCAGGAAGCAGTCGCCGCTGTTTAAAGAGTGGGCTGTTGGCTCCACCAGGCGCACCTGGATGTGCCTCCGACCTAGAGACAATGACAAAGCAGCTTATACCTCCAGACTCCAGCAGCCTTAATCTGAAGCATTAATCACCGACATAGATATGTAATTGACTGTCATTTATTTGAGGTTTATTAACTTTACATTCTTAAGGAATAGCACAGGAAGCACACCTGAGTGTTTCCCTTTAACAGCACTTTTAAGTCTTTGCTTTGGTTATGGGTGATAGAGCATACACCATACCTCCATTCAACAAGTATAGATAGAAAACAAACACACACAGTTGATTTGCATGTGTTGCTGACCTTTAATGCGAATGAGCATGAGCTTGTTGAAAGGCAGTGTGCTGTTGTTAGTCACAACATCGGTGGACTTCACGCTGCGCAGGTTCACCTTGCGGAAGTTCTCCTTGCTTGCGAGGCCCGCTAAGGCCACATCAGCCAGGTTGCTTTTGGAGTGTTTTGCCACTTTGAGGGAGAGAAAAAGAAGAGGGACCGGGGACATTAAGAAAGGAACACAGTGGAATTGAGACACTGATCATTACTATTCTTTAATCTAATCTGCCATCTTGCTAATTATAACAAATAGAGACCAGATGTAAAGCAGAGATCTTAAGCGATAGAACTTGTTTTCTTATTTCTTCTTTCATGCGAGCAGTGCTTAGACTGCTTCCTCTTAATTTTCAGGTAACCTGTGAAAAGGTCACTGAGGCCAGACTAGTCTGTGAAAAGTATCGATGGAGAGGAACTAAATATAGGAAATAAGTAGCAGACTAAACTGAAAACAATCTCATACTTTTGCTGTTGTTTTTATGTTGTTGTTGAAGTTTCAGAACCAGCAGAGCTCAGTGCAACCTTCAGAAACCACGAAAAGCCAGTGGAACGTGGTAGGTTTATCAGGAACAACACAACAAACCTTGGTATAGTCGCTACACATGGTTATGGATTAAACCTTTGGTGACGCATGAAAGTAAGAGTCTTAAGCCTTGCTATGGAGAGAACATTCATAGTGCCAGAGTCAGTATGAGCAGTCTTACTCCTCTCCACTTGGATCCTCTTGGTCTCCAATGAGGCCACGTTAAGCCTCTGCTCAGTATAGACCTGGCGGATGTCGTTGCGGGCAGCCAGAGCCCGCAGAGGGTTCCTGGAGCCCTGGTTCCTTCTGTTTGGTCGTACTGCTCGCTTGTGCTCGGTTACAGCTGAGGTGAGTCTAAAGACGTACATGTACACAACACAGTGGTCATTTTCCATCAAAGCAAACAATGACTCTCGAGAATAATGAATGCCGTTCATTATTGTTATGATTTATAGAAACTAACTTTGGTGAATTGTCCTGAATCTGGCTGAGATCCTCCTCCGTCAAAACCACACCGGAGTCGTGGAGTCTCGACGGGGACACAGTTTTGTAGAAGTTGCCGAACGTCTCCTCGTCATCCAGGGTCATCACTTCTTTCTCCGTCTCTGCCGTCACCTCGACGGTGGAAGTCCTGCTTTTGCTCACGCCTGACCGACCCGCCATGGCAGGAAGTAGGAAGGATTGAAGAGGAAAAGGTGAGTCAGATATGAGCCAAATGTTTTGGATATCCTGTCCTGTGAGCTTACGGGCTCATGTGTGTGTCATGTCCATAATGTTCAATATACACTATGTCTATGTGTCAGTAAAAGAGAGTTAAGATTGAAATTTAACGAATGTGGATTAAAAAATTTGTAGACATACATATATATATATATCTATATATATATATATAGATATATATATATATATACTAGATCCTCCTTAATAACTAATACATATTATCTTGTGTGGAAAACAACAACATGCGAGGGTACGGTACCTTTACTGTGGAGCTTGTCGAGGAACGACTCGAGCTTGTCAAGCCTTTTATCTCCTTCCACTTTGACATCAGTTCTACTGGAGATTTCTGTCCAGCAATAACAAACACAGGATTACTCATAGCTAAGAACACTCAGTGCTACAATACAAAGCATTGGCATTAATATTGTTTTAAAAAAAGGTATCAAATGCTTTTAAAATGACCAGAAAGATTAAATTGAAATCTGTCATCTGGACTAAGCAGCATGTTATGACACAAATGGCCAAAAGTCAGTTTAGTTCAAGTACAAATATACTTTCAATATTCACAACATCTGCTGTAACAACAGATGTATCGGGTTAATCACTTTATGGATTAACTGAATGATTCACACACTGATACGTATGTAATAGAAGTTGAAGGGAAATGTCTCCTACCTTCCAGTGGCTTCACGGGCGTGGCATTCGACTTCTTGCGGGAGATGAGAGTAGACTCTTCCTTTCCGGTGTCTGACACCACACCTGGAGGAAGACAAGGGGGAAAATGTAAGGCTGCAACTAACAGTCATTTTCCTCAACAATGAATCTGCCGATTAATTGTTTTGTCTAAAAGCAGTGGAAAACGTCCATGGTAGCGTATTAAAAAGTCTTGTTTTATCAGAACAACAGTCCAAATGAAAACATATTTTTACTTTCAAGTATGAGAAAGACAAGCATCAAATTCTCACATTAGATGAAAAAGGTGTTTTGCCAGAAAAAAATAACTGAAACTATCAGAGAATCAAATTTGTGCCAACTCATTTTCTGTTCATCAATTAATCAATTAATTAACATGAACGCAGCTCTAAAGAGAATTGTTTTTAAGTCCCATCTTCACGGGTCACACAAGGAACGTATCCAAGTACAGTGATGATATCCTTGATAGGACCAAATGCAATGCAGAAAAATTGCGTCATGTAGCAGCACGGAGAGTCTGCAAGTCTGACTGTCACAGCACAACAGCTTGTGTCAAGCTTCACCTTTCTTGGCCATGCGTCCAGCCACAGTGAACTGGACAGAGTCGTTGGCGGCTCCTTTGCCTCTGCTCTTCCACTGCTCCTCCTTGTCTTTAAGGACCTTCATCCTGTCTGCCAGGGACATCTTGGGCCCCAAATCTACACTGGATTTCTGTTGGAACATTAGGACTTTCATTATAAAAAGGAAAGCTGGCCATGCACTCCACTGTCTATTCATGTCACACGGGGAACAGAGAGTTACGAGGACACAGTGAAGTAATCATGGGTGAGCACAGAGCGAGAACAGGAGAGACTACAAGTGATGGTGAAGGAAGATAAGCAACGAGGAATACATTTAAAATGGAATTATGAATGATATCATTACTTTCTTATTATTTCTGGGAGAGAGTGAATTATCCCAAAAACAACAACCTCCACAAAAAACATGAAGAATGTAGAGTCCCGACAATAAAAAACCAAAACTGTACTGAGGCCATCTATCACCAGCCATTCATTGAAGCTTTCCTTACGTGATTTATTCCTGCTGCCATTTTTGCACCTGAACGCCACCATTAAAAATGAATTAGCAGAGGTTTACTGCCCCCCCTGGTCCCACTGGACCCCGGGAGCTGTATTAAAGTAATTAATGATATTCCACTCCTAAATATTTGAAGCGTTTTACGGCCCTGCCAGAGCTTTTACTGGCTGCCACCCCTTATTCCTTGGCTAACAATGAGCAATTCACTGCGTGTAATGAGACGGAAGACATGGGAGAGAGTCTCGCTAAGGGAGACCTATCTCCAGTCCACAGTATGACTGCACGGAAGAAAAATGCAGAGCAGATAACAGCATGAAGAAAAGTTATTGTACAAAACATTCCAACTTTATTTTCTATAAATGAGTCTACATAGTATCTTTGTCTTTCTTGCTTTAGCTCAATTCTTGAATGAGAATTATTTCCTCCAAACAATTAGTACGTTGTTCACAACATATTTGAATTTGTTTTGGCACATTCAGGCAAAAGATTAAGTACAATTGTCAACTACTTACTTGTGGCTCGTTGAGTTGTTTCTCAGTAAAATTGCCTTGTTTTCACAACTTCTACAAATTCTTTATGAGCCATCACATCTTAAAATGAACCATTCAATGATCAGAATCTGTCAGACATACATGTATATTCCATAAATATACATGACATGGTGTTATATTCTATGCCAGGGAAATCAGAGGACCTCATTTGGTCTTTACAACTGACAATAACATCGTGCATATTTACAGCCCACTTGATTTTTCTCCGTTTTTGTATTTCTGTTTTTTCTCATTTTATTGATATTTGTTAACAATCAGAAGAAGGCCGTAGGTTGCAAAAAGGTTGAGAACTTTAAAAAACAAGCCTGAGGAATCCTATGTGCTATTTGTCCTGAATTAATGTGACACACGCTACAATACACAAGCAGCAATGTACTAACAAAATGGAGAAACACCAGTTTCCCTCAAACCATCTTCCACTCATATAACACGCAACACCCTCTCTCTCCATCTCTCACTCACTGCACACACAGTTTGTTTGTACTTTAATGTTAAACAGGTTACACAGAGGGGTCAAATGTTAGCCTGACAAGAGACAAAAGTTCAAAGAAATGCATTTAATCACACTGGCGCGCACACAGAGACGACACACTGGGTCTGAACATCAAAGTGAACTCTTGCAGATTTCACAACATTAGAATATGATACAGCTTCTGTACGTCTTAAACCGAATAAGACAAACGGGGACTGAGACATTCGTCTTTTATTACTTTAAACTATTAATACTCAGAAACATGCTAATCACATTAGTCCCTTAGTATAATAATGCTAGCGCTTGCAAACTACAATCGCATTCTCACACACTTACAGACGGACACAGCTCCTCCAGCTAGCAGCTCATCTCTGGAGTCAATCAGAGAGGGGAAATACCTTGGTCTGACAGGACCCTCGAGAGAAGGGGGGGGGGGCTGGGCCTCAAACCCCCACAGGAAGCAATTTTTCTCAGCCCTGTCTTACTGTACAGTGCAGGCAGCACCTCAGCCAAACCTCTGACACAGATATCGACCAACCGAGGGCCGGCAAACCAGCATCCATGTACCAACAGCAAGTGTGTTATCAGCAGTAATTCTCGGAGGGTGTGTGAGACGCTGTCCAGAGCACATGTGGAGAAATAAAGACTACAATAACATTGAGATAAAGTCCATGCAAAGAGGCACACGCAGACTCACCTGAAGGGGCTGGGAAAGGTTGACAAGTGGGTGGCAAAGTCAAAGAAAGGGGGTAGAGTCCGCAGGTGAGGACAGAAGATAACTGGAAAGAAGGGTTAAAGGAGGAGGAGGAGTCGCAAAAAGGAGATAAGGAAAGGAAAATTAGCAGAGGAGAATGGAGGAGAAAAGAGCAAAGCATGGCAACATTAGACTGCAACAGCTGGAGAGAGCGGGTTTCAGCGTGGAAGACTAGAGATGAGATGTGGGTCATTTAAAGCCTGGCACAAAGTTTGGGAGGATGGGAGAGAAAAGAAAAGGGAGATAGAAAGCAACGCAGGGTGTGAAACTAGCCTCACGGTTTAGTTGTAATCAAGTGAAGATCTCTCACTCTGTTGGCGTATTTAACGCAAAAAGTTTGATTTCTTACAACGTATTAACTTGTGTTTTTAAATGAGCTATTTCAAGGACATCCTCGAATACACTCATCTTCAGTGGATGGTCTGAATTTAGATTAACAAAGCATGATTATTATGATTAACAATACTTATTTAAGACAGACCTTCTGTAAAAGGAATTTACAACACAGCTGTGATGCAGAGAACAGCTTAGCAGGCTTAACAGGAAACATCTGGTGCTGGTGACCATGGTGTGTACCATGCATGTCACATTCCCTGGGCCCCCACATATCAACCAAACAGCAACATCTGCTGCTCCAGATTGGCAGCGTATGAGATAAAAATGACAAACCAACAGCCTTTCCTCGAGAGAGAGAGAGAGAGAGAGAGAGAGAGAGAGAGAGAGAGAGAGAGAGAGAGAGAGAGAGAGAGAGAGAGAGAGAGAGAGAGAAATGTAACAAGAATAGACGCATGAAAGGAAATGCCCCATAGCTAATATTGACATGGCATCAATGCCAATAATTTATCCAAACCGTGTATTATCTACATCTCTGAGGTGAGTTGGTTTCACAGAGTTCTTACGGTCGAAGCCAACGAGGCCAGCAGGTTACAGACCAATTCACAGGCAAAAACCTCGGATACAATTAAAGTGGGAGTTGAGGATGCAGTTTGGACTTTGTGTTGACTTATCATAACGAAGACAGACCACATGACATCAGTTTCCAGTATTTAATTGAGTGGGGATTTGCTCAAATTGCTGGCTGTCTGTACTTACTTATTAAGTGGCTTTTCCCAGACTAAGAGTGGATTTATTCGAAGGTTAGCTCATCCTTGGAAGAAGGATGAGCCCAAAACCAGAAATCCCTCAAGAGGATCATTGATCTGGACAGACATGAAACCAACAGATGCTCCGTATGAATAAACATGACATCATTACAAACTCACTGTCCAGTATTGACTGTTTTTGGGGGATATCCGTCTGGCACTCATTGTCTGTCTGTCTCCCTCCCCCCCCCACTGCTGTCCAATTCTTTACTTGCACTATCCATGGAATGGTTATCATGCTGTTTTTCCACTTTAAAACTCAGCAAGGGTGGTCATGTTTGAACAGGAGAGGAGCATGCAGAAACCTGCATGCACTTCTCTTGCCACTTCAAAAATACGTCAGTTATCTTAGCATGTGTTAAACATTAAACCCCCTCGACGCTGACCCGTGTTTAACTGTATGACATGGATGTTTATATACATGGAAGTCTATAAAAGAACAAAAAGCTTGCTTATGGAGGGAATTGTTTGTTTTTTTGTACTTTGCGGACAGGGGCATTAGCTTGGAAGGTTTGCAGGTGTTTGGTCATGGTGTAGGATTGTAAGGGGCGTGTCTCTCTTTCTCTTTGGGAGCCCAGCTAAGCCCTGGATCTCTGGGCTTTGGCGTCACCACTCCCAAATCTGCTGCACCCCACAAGCCCTTCTAACCTCACATCCTTATGGCAACAAGTCGGGGGGAAATAAGCTGATTCAGCAGAGCAAGAAATGTGTCCAGCAGCCAAATCCTTCTTTCCCTGCACACAAAGCTGAGGGCAAGCTTCAACCTGTGGCAGTAAAAACAATGCACTCCAACTCCAGTCTGGTAAACCTGTTATTCATACTAACTAACCAACTACTAAACCCCACAACAAGAAGGAAAGAGTCTGCTCAATAAGCAAAAATCTACCTTTTTCATCCAGGCATTTTCAGCATGTTGGAGTTTGCCGAAGCGATCGGCCAGTGATGTGTGGGTCAACTCGGATGTTTTGGGCTTCTTCGGTCTATCCTTCTTCTCACCTTCACTAGTGAACTCTGCCAGTCTGAAAAAAGGTAAAAGACACATTAGTTCTTTCCCAATTAAATAAACTGTCGAACCTACTTTTGTGATGCATTTCAGAAAGACCTAAATGGAGCCTTTAGTCTGGCTATTAAATACATTTAAAGTCGGGTTCTTGTCCATTTAATATTTTGTAAATTGTCTTTTCTTTGCATAGAAACAAATATGCACATTTCGGCCTCATAATTCATCCTAGTGCCTGCTGTGTTTGTGTACATCCAATGACCTCTGTTTGAGCGAGGAGCCCTGGCTTCCATCCAAACTGCTCTCCAGTTCCTCCACGTCCTCCGACACCGTGGACGTCTTCTCCGCGCTCTCGTCAGACGAGGGACTCCGCATCTCCTCAAAGCTCCGCATCTCCTCAAAGCTCCCTCCACTGCCGCTGCTGCTTCCCTCTCTCTGTCGTCCGTCGATGCTGACGCGCCCGCCGTCTGCGATATCATCAGTTAATGACTCATCTCCGTCATTTTCCCCATTGACCTCTTCCTCGATCTCCTCCCCCTCTTCCTCCTCTTCCTCCTCTTCCTCCTCATCCACCTCCTCTTCCTCCTCTTCCACCTCTTCCTCTTCCACCTCTTCCTCTTCCTGCTCCTCCTCCTCTTCCTCCTCCTCCTCCTCCATCTCCTCCATCTCCTCCATCTCCTCCATCTCCTCCATCTCCTCCTCGCTCTCAGGGTGGCTGAGGGTGACACCGGTTTGTCGGGCTGGCGCGCAATCCGGCGCCGAGCCCTCGCTGTAGTCCGACTCCATGCTGGTGGAACGGCTTTTCTTTAGGATTCCCCTGATGCCCCGAGACCCGGAGTCTTGGCGCTGCAGCGAGGCGGCGAGTTGGCAGGGAGGAGAGGGAGGGGGGGAGGCGTCTCGGTTCTTGCTGAGGGGGAGAGCCCTGTCGGAGAGGAGACTGGAAGGCTGATGTAGAGAGGGAGAAAGAGAGAGAAAGCTTTTATTACTACCAGCCATAATATTTATAAGAGCTGGAAAAGCGGATTAAAGTTGGGAGACTACTGTCAGTGTATTCTATGGTCCTTGATTATGGCGTGTAACTCGCTCTGACCAGACCAACTTTTTCCAATGTCAGCTCCTTTGCAGTTTCCGCACAAGCAGCAAAACCCCCTTTTTTTCTGTCTTTTTTTGACACACACAAACACATACTCCTGGACATAAGTAAGAAGAGAAGAAGAAGGCTTAAGAGCTTGAGAAAAATGAAATGACTGTGATTAGAAAAAGGGATGAAGTGAAGGCTTTGCAAGACTTGTTTGGGATGTCACTCATGTTTGTTGCTTTTCTAAGAAAAGAAAAAAACGTTAAAAAGAAACACATGCTGTGTGAAGTTGTAATTTTGAGACACAAGCTTTTTGTAATCTGAGCTACCAAACGCAAGGATGTGACCATGCGTTTAAAAAGCATTAAGTACCGTTAAGCGTTTTAAAGAGTAACAATTTACAATAAAGACGCATATAAACATGAACATGAAATGACACGTCCAAACACACCCTTTTGTGCGTGTAATATGCTGCTCAGAAGATGCAGCAGCAGCTGGAGCAACAACAGGTCAAAGGTTACGAGGGAGTGCTGATTTAGGAGGAGATGACGGAAGAAGCCGTCCGTTGAGCCAGCTGGGTGTGAAAGTGCAACGCAACCAGGCGGTCTTCTTAAATTAAAAACACTGGAGTATGTAATGCACGGGGTCATTAGTGTGTGGTATAAAGTACGTTTACATACTTTCATTACCTTCTGAGAAGATCTAGGATCTGAGAAAAAGTAAGAATGTGTGTGTGTGTGTGTGTGTGTGTGTTGCAACTGTATATCAGCGACATGAAATACAATCTATAAGTCAACTTTAAAAAATAAATTTAAAAGATAATGTAATCTAAACCAGACCCAGAGGTAAGAGAGCCAACGTTAAGGTGAGTAAGCGTTTTGGAATTGGCTCGCATGCAGTGCAAAAAAAAAGCAGTGTTCAAAAATAAGATCTTTCCAAAATACAATCCAGAGGGATGACTTTTATATTTCAGCCTGTTGAGTTATGGAAACCATGTGGCATTTAAAAAAAACAAAAGTATAAAATGGAAACAAAAATACTGACCTTTTCTTCAACGGTGGAAGCATTTTCATGCGGCTCCTTCCATGAAGGTTCATCTGTGGTGTCTTTCTCGTCCATTAACTTGCTTTCAGTTTTGGGAAGGCTGAAATATGAGAGGAAAAAAAGATGACGATGATGGAAGCAGACAGAAAGAGAGAAAAAACAATATTTTTCTTCATAAATTTGATGTAAAAAAACGATTCAGCCATTACATAATGGAATTTGCAGGAAAGAGCTGGCTGCAAGGTGAATTCAAAACACAGACGTATGAAACACTCATTAGTCTGCTGTGCCACCACATCTTGTTTCTGTTATGAATACATCACTAGTGGATAGGGACATAATAGAGTACCATTTGTATTTACGAGGTTGTACACTAAATGTACTAAGAGTAGATAACCACGCTGAACTGAATGGTGAGAAACCTATCTGGTGAAGCTTGAGCCAAAGTTGACTTCTACACAAACTGCAGAAGATTTTGTTTTTGCCAAAATTAAGAAACATGTCACTTTGTAATTCATGTAGGGACGGGGCCAGCATAATGGTAAAGACACTGAACTTCAGACACCACTGAGCTCATAATCATCTCATCTTGCGAGTGCTTTCTGACCCTTGACAGGCGGCGATGCTCGGACACATTCACTTTTGCTTCGAGCCTGCTTGTCATCTCCTGAGCAACGTCTTTGTTATGCAATCATTTTCTGTTTTGTTGCAGAAAATCTATATGGAAATGTTTGGTTTGTTGCATGCAGGGCAATGGAGCTTTGCTGAAAAGGTCGTCTACATCTCTACATCGAAAAGATTCAGTTGCAAATAGTCAAATGTACCGATATCACTTCTGACTTGGGAGGAAACTGAAAGCAGTTTATGTGTCAGTTCAAACTCCATGTGGACAAAAAGGGACAGGAATGAACATATGGTACTTAAATCCCCCCCCCCCCCCCCCCCCCCCCCCCCACACACACACACACATATGCAAACATGGGGGGCATTTCTCATAGATGATAATACAGATACACACACTCTCCAGCTCAGTCCAGTCTCCTGTGGTTACAGTGCTAAGTACAGTGTTGCTCTCACTGCTGCAGCTATTAACTACAGCCTGGTTTGGTTTGCATCACCATGGCTACCTCACAGCCCCGTTGTGTGCGAGTGTGTGTGTGTGTGTGTGTGTGTATGTCTGTGTGCGAGAGATAGAGAGTGTGTGCTATTAAAGGCAAGCTCTGCAGGTTTATCTGGTTTATCGCTCCAGCTGTTCACATCATTTGACAGCCTTTCAGTTGGTCTGTAATTACCTCTGTGCTCCGCTCTGTCTGTGTGTGTGAGAGTGTGTGAGAGTGTAAGTTGATTTGAATCTGTTTGTTCTGTCTGCGCCGTGTTGTGACATACGTATTGTGCCGCAGACCACTGCATCTATTACTCAAAACTTGTGAAAAAGGAAGAGCCCATTCAAAGTTCAAATCCTACCTGGTGGAGGACTCCTCTTCATCACTGCTCATTCGCTGACCCTTGACCCCGTCGTCGGGGCGTCGGCCACTGCTTCCATCCTCCGATCCCTCCTGGTCCTACAGGCAGACAGAATGACGGCCGTGGCCTAAAGGTTGGGATTGTGTTTGCGAGAAATTCTGCTTATGTCCGACACTAGCTGTAAAAAACTAACCGTGATAAGGGGAGTGAATGAATGAACGAGGCTCCACCCACACACTTAAGCAAAGCAAGTAGTTAACCCTTCAAATGCTCAGTTGAGTTGCTCATGCCAATGCTGTAGTTTGTGAGTGATTGTGAAGCAAAACTACCCACCCAGAGTACATAAAGTAAAAACTAAAACAGAGAGAGACGAGTACTGCATTCTCTACATCAAAGTCCACTCAAGGGAGCCATCATGGTTTGTTCTTACTTTTTTTTTTTTTTTTCACCATCTTTAAAAGGTTGAAAATCCCTTCCAGAGCATCCTTTCAAAAGTTTAAAGGTATCCTACTTCACTGAAAAGTTCATTGTCAGCATATGTGTGCTGGAGGCTTTCAACGTCACACTTGTGTAAGTTGCATATTGCACTTTTTCAAACATGTACAGCGCAAACTATCCAGCTGTGTGAGACGTGTGTCACAAAACACTTAACTGAGGCCCTGGTGCGACCTGAAGAGAAGTGGATCTCCAGCTGTTAGCCAAGCAACAGAAATCAAGTGCTCCTTACTCACAAAAATGACACAGCAAAGCTTATAATATTAGAGGCCTCTTTCAAACGGACTGATGCTCTCCGATTATAAAGAAGGAACTTATTTTCCACTCCAGCAGAAATGCATTGCCTTCATGTTTTTATATCCTGGGGAGGAAATTTAAGACATAAATGAGCTGTATCTTTCTCCAGAAGTCCACATGCACACATTTTATTGCCTCCATCCGTGCTGGAGAGCAGACGTACTGTAACCTCACTCCTGCTCTGTCTCTGCTGCTGGAGACACTGACTCATCGGCTCTCAGCAGGGATTCGCGGTGGAGAGTTCAGCGATAAGGGAAAAGTGAAGACAGCGAAGGGGCTAATCTGTCACCGCTGATGACTTTCAAGTGAGACGCGTAGAAATAACAAAGATCTGGGTCAAAACAAAGGACGGGGAGACCAGGGGAAAAAAGAAAGCAGTGTGATTGTGAGATAGTCTCTTTGTGGAAACTTGTTTTGCCAGCAGGTTTTGCTGCCATCTGGGTTCACTTGGCCAACCTTGGCACTGCTGCTGGCCTGAGAAGGCCAAGTCAGAACAGCTATTTACATCAAATATCAGGAAACCTAACCACTTCTGAAACTTAAGCAGCCTGGGAAAGACACATTCATGTTTAAGCACACGTGCATATATCTCCCATAGGATTGGGGGCATTATCAAGCTTTTGTTCCCGAATGGATCTTTTAGATCTCTAGACTTCTTCTTCCAACCGTCGCTTTAAGACGTCCACAAACTATGTGTGTGAAGTCATGACTTTGGCTAAATGTGCATCCAGGTGCGGGGCAGCTCAGTGCTGTATGGAACGGCTCAATTTGTTATTAATGGAGCAAAGATCCAGGGGGGGGAGGTTGAAGCGAACACCAGCTGTGTTGGAAAGGGCTGGGAGTAAATCAGCGAGGACACTGAACAGAGACTGTAGATAAATATCACTCATAAGTTTATCACACACACACAAAATCAATCAACTATATGAGACATTTGAATGAAGGGAATTAGAAGACAAACTTAAAATAGCGTACCTTAAAAAGAGACATGGTGGAAGTCCTCTTGGCTGAGTCCATAGGCTTCTCGTCATCTAGAAAGAACACGCACACAAACACATGTATGGTTGACAATGAATACAACAGTGAGAGGACATTTTGAATTGCTTCCTGCCAGTGTAGTATCACATGATCGGTCAGGGTGTCGCCTTAGAATGAGGGTTTAAGGCGGACACGGCGTGGGTTTGGTATCCACAACGTAATCCGTTGTTGATGGTCTGGGAGACGGTGAGGAGGAGGCGCGCTGGCTGTTTTTGTAAATACGGTAACAGTTGCACGCAAAGGCCGAGCCGAGCACAGAGACATAGAGGGAGATTTAACAGGTAATTCGATGCAGGCCTGTGCATTACAAACACATCCACAAAACGCCACACATGCACACATCAGAGTCTTTACAGGTCGAGTGAAAGTTTTTAATTTCGGAGGCTTTACCGGTGCTCCTAAGGTGTCTCTGGATCAGAATGCACTAATGATATTTCTCTCGCCTCACGATGACTGCATTCAGACATTCAGTCTGTCAAGAGTTAAAGGTAGTAAAAAAAATAGTTTTTTTCAGAGAAAGGAAAAGCCATTACCATGTGGTGCATAAATTGCAAGAACTAAATTATATTTTTTATGCGAGTGGTCGAATCAAAAGCAGCCCTGAGAATATACTCTTCTAATCCGCACAAAAGGAAACCATTAAATTTAATGATACTCCAAAACAACACAAATTTCTTAAGTCAGCACACTCAAATCCATTCTCCCACTCTAAATCCGTTTTTTATTGCTTTGACAATGAGACATTGCTCACTAAAATCGTTCCACCTCCGAAGAAAACAAATGAACAAACAAATCTGAAAAAGTGTGCCTGGCAAACTCCCCCATTTCAAATAGAAAAAAAGAAAAAAGCTAATACTTTAATAAATTTATGTTCCCAAGCTCCTTCTGCTGTCCAGAATTGACCCTGATCTAGTTCAGATGATGACACATTGCAGACCGGTGATTCCCCGCAGACCGAACTCTCTTAGTTTTGAATCCGGTCCAATCTTTTTCACATCAGCATCCATCCAACATCCAAGAGAGAGACGGAGGGGAAAGAAAGACTCCACTTAAGACTTCACTGACTTCCAGAAGTGTTTTCATCCATCTCATTAGACTGCTCAGTCAGAGCTGCTGAGAGCTTATTTGATGGGCTTTTGACCTCGTAATGGCCAATGGAGTCTGAGGAGTTCATTAAATCTGCATAATGTTTTACAGCAGAATTAACTCCCCCAGCAGGGAAAATCTAATGGAGAGTATTTAAGTCATAGTGTGCTGAACTCATTCTGAATGCACTCTGTACTGTGATAACACGCATCTAACTGAGGGCTTCTTACATATATGTTTGTATTGCTGGCTGAGGGAACGCTGACTCATCAGCCGTGCGAATGCACCGCCGAGGCTGTCACACTCTCTTGCTTTCACACTCACACACTCTCACTCACACACACACACACACACACACACACACACCTCGATTACAGATGAACACTGACTGGTCTTTGTTCCTCTTTCTGCATCTTTGGTTCTTTCTAGTACAATTTCTAATCCCGTCTTCCAACCAGAGAAACACACGGGCCATGTCGAGAGATATTCAAAGCAAAAGAGATCCTCAGTATTCTGTGTTATGTTTCCAAATAAGTTAAGTCATTACATATCTTCTACTTGAGGACATTCTACTTCTCCCAAATAAAACAGTAGAAAACCATTAAACTCAATGGAGGTTAAAATGGGTTTAACTTTTTACGATGTCATTTTAAATACTTTATCAAATATAATTTCTGTCAACAGACCAGAAAGGCTGTTTGACGAAAATGCAGCAGTGAGCAGATAATTAGTAGCCACTGACTGTTTCTGTGCTCGTGTTGCGTTTTATATTTCATATTCTCTCATCATAGATCAGACCCGGTTTACTGAGAAGAGGGTAGAACCTGTGCTGCTACAATGAAAAAAGGCTCTACCTCAGCCAGTAGGTGAGTCAGCACTTTCGTGAAATACACTAATCATGATTTAGCTCTGCCATCGACTATTAATGCCTACCGTGCACATGTAGGTGGAGAAAGCCTCTGTTAAAATGCAACATTTTAATCAATGATTGGATTGAAAAACTAGCAAATACAAGAGACTGGACGGCAGACGGGCTTCACCTTGGTTTCACTTTCATGTCCCTCTTGCATGATTAAATAATATGTTTTTGATTTAATGTGAGGATCACTTAGACTTGGTCTGCCACACTTCCTGATTAACTGAGTAGGTCGAGTTTACATTGTTTACACAACACTGCTTCACACGTCTTGAGATACTGACGCCTGGGACCTTCCTATCACCTCTCTCTTTCACTTTCTTTCCATCTCTTGTGCAGTCGAGCGTTCACACGCACAGCCGTGAGCGGAGAAACACACACAGACCAACTTGGTGAAAAGGCAGGAGGCCACTGACAGAAAGACGGGCGACGGACAGACTGACTGACAAGACTCCGGATGTGGGCTCAGGTGGCTGAATGAGAGTGGGAAAAGCAGCCTTAACCATTGTCTCGAACATTATCTCCCTTATTTTAGGAAAAAGAAAACCACTGCTTTGGGCAAAACGTTCTCTTTATATTATAAAGTGCACCAAACAGGGAGAAAGCGGTCCGTGGAACGAAAGAGGATCTGAGTGCAGTGAGAGTGAAGAGTTCGTCTTACCCTTTGGCTCCTCTGTGTCATCGGCTTCCAGCAGACTAGGGGAGGGAGGGGGAGAAAGAGAGAGAGAGAGAGAGAGAGAGAGAGAGAGAGAGAGAGAGAGAAATGAGGTCAGCCTCTAACACACTGATGTGACGACATAAATTGTGTCTGGCAAAATTGAGGTTTGACAGAAAAATGAGAATATTAAGTCTTACCTACACAACAATAATCCAAAAATTGTACTCTCAAGCCACCTAAAAAGGTGTAATATAAACCAAACTAGCAACAGAGCTGCACCCCCTTACTGTGCTGCGTATGATACGCATCTTACAACAATTACCCTTGCCGCTCTTCCACTCCCATGTTGCCGATGATATAACAGCGGTGCCTGTGTCGCCTGCAGAGATGGCCACTGATCTCGAAGTAATGGGTGTTAAATATGGATGGGGACAGCAGCTGCCTGTGGGGGGGGGGGGGGCAGCGATGATGTACCAGGAGGAGGGGAGAGGACTGCTTTTAACACAATGGAGACTTCTGGTGGGCGTTTGGGAGGGGTTTGGGGTTGAGAACTAGAGTTTGGTCAATTTACGATTTTACCGGTCCGTTCCGGTTTTAAACCAATTACATTTCATGCAAAGCGGCTGAACCGTCATTTGTCATTATTGCACGTTCTAGGGAATACTGGAGTCACTACATTCTCATTCATGGGCTCAGTGACGCCGAATCAACCCCACCCGTACTTTAAGTGCCGGCTGAAGGGGAGGAGCTGCACGCGTCGGTCCTAAGCCACCATTAAAAACTAACCACAGTAGAAGAGTAAAGTGCAGTGCAGAGAGGCGACGAGAGCAGCAATAGTGAAAAGCACAGAATGATAAACACATTCAAATCAAGGCAGGGGAGTCATTCATCAAACACAGTGATAATATCATCCACACAACACATTAAGTGAAACAGGAAGAGAAGAGGATGAAGTAAGAGAATAGAAGGGATATAATCGTAGTTAAAAGATTTAATTTTAATGCTTCTAATTTGTGCACTTGAATGTTGGGAAGCTCAGTTCTTCAAATGGCACGTACTGGAACGATGTAATGGTTCAGCCAGGTAAACAATAATTAGTCCAAATCCCATTCAGTCCTGTGTATAATCCAAGGTGTTTGGCGAACCCTAAAGTGCCACTAGCCCAATTTACTGGCATTTACTACACATGCTTGATGACACGCAGAGCATCAAACCCCAAATAATACAACATACACTTCACACTGCAGGTGAATACCTAAGAATCAACTGCATTTTTGTACTGTGTATGTAACATGCATTGATGTAAAAACAGTTTCATGAAGAGTTAAAATGTTCCCTATCCAACAATCTCACTGTGCAAACGGTGCACGGAACTTTTTGCTACCAAATCAAGGAACCTGATGTCACTGTGTTGTCTCCAGAAATGAGATCAAGGTGGCCAAAAAGATGAGATTCATGTACATTAACAGGTAACAAGTTAGGTACTTTGACAGGACAACATTTGTATTTTCTTAAATTACTACGAGGGATTTTTCAGTAACAGATCATTGTAAATGTTCAATGTTTTGGAATGTCACCCTTCAACTGTAACCTCACTAGGACAGGAATCTTGTCTGTGACAGTTGACAGTTTTTATTGTCGCTGGAACAGCTGAGTTCCAGTTTCCTTTGTGCTATCCCTGTAACAGACACACACCAACATTGTGGTGAATATCTGCTCCAGTCATAAAGCACTTGCAAGTCAACCAGGAATCTTTAATATATTGTTTGATATACAATTCATGATTGCCTGTACGGATGCTTAATGAAACACAAACAACTCCAATTCCCCCCCTAGGATTGAAGGTGAAACATAATAAACACACTAATATCTGGGGATGCCAAGTTATTGGCTCATAATAACAGTTTCTATAGAGCCTTCTCTGTTCAACTCTGTATGTGGCATAAGAACGCCTGCACGCGAGACGGCACAGCTGGATGTCACCACGCAGCCAACGTCATAACAAAGCTGACAAGATTAGTAGCCAACGTGACAGGCACGCGAGACAAACACGTCAACCCCGTCTCTGTAATTAAAAATGTTGTCCAGAACTTTGTGTGCGACTGTATTTTGCCAAGTATTTTTTTCCGCTGTGCTAAGCCAAAAACAATTCCTTTCACACTGCATGATGTGCAAAAAAATAAATTAAAATCCTTCATATCCACAATTAGACAAAACTGATGCTTGAACATGTTTTATACTGAATAAATTTCAACACTAAATTTGTCATAAGCAGGGTCATTAAAAAAAAAAAAAACATGCACATAAAAAGCTTTGCCATCAGGAGACGATCAAGTACTTGATGGCTGAGATTTGCTGAAACATGCCGCTGCACGTCCATCGCCTTTCCCAATCTTATAAAATAATTGGTCCATAATACCTAACAAGCCATCACTCACACAGCTATTGAGTTGTCTTGCTTCATTAAGCACAGGGGATGAAAACTTGGCAGATCCTAATCCCCCCCCCTCCCTGCAAGCCCCAATCTGTGACATTATCTCAGCACTCTGTCCATCTCACTTCTTCTCTCTTTATCATCAATCCCCAAGGCTGTTTTTCAAGCACAGACATGTCTGCCTGTGCGCGGCACAATCCCCGGCTTGATTACAGCTCAAACATGTTTTTGCTCCATCTATGCGCAAACATTTTAGAAGAAAATTCCTGGCAACCAATGAGAACAACTCCACAAACGTCTGTCAGGTCAGCCTGACAATACCGGTTTGTTACTCTGACACGAGCTGAACATGTGTGAATCCCCAAAAATGACTGTTAAGTGAACCCAAAACAAAGCAGCTTGCATGTCATCACAGCAAAAATAAATGTAGGATTCCTCCACTTTGCACACATGGCCAATTTTGGAAATGTTAGCGACCATGTTTCCTTCAAACGGAAGATATAAAGTGTTCTCCGAATGAGCCGACTTGTTGCCTCCTCGTCTTTACTAGCTACACTGAAAATGATGATTAATTGCAATCTATAGCCTGGGTTTATACTTCTAGCGGCCTTCTGAGTCTCTATGCCTGGACCGCTTTGTGTTTCATGTCTCATGGCCAAGTTTATGTCCCATTGAGAACAACTCTGTGGCTGGTCTTGTACAAACAACAGAAGTGCGCTATTATCTTGTGACAATGTGTATTAACTCACCTCGAATGAGAGGACTCCTTCATGGAGGAGACAGCTTCTGATTTAGAGGATGAAATTGTGTCCGTTTTGAAGTGCGTGGGCTCGTCGTCAGTCTGCTCCTCCACAGGTTCTGCTGCTTTGGTCCTGAAGCCCCTCCTGGTATACGTTTGCTCCGATCCATTATCCTCGTATTTTTCCTTCTCCTTGGTTTCTGACGACACCGTTTCGGATGCATCGCCAATTTTCCTGTCCCTGCGGACATATTTGGAGGTGACTTCATCCGTGTTGCCATAGCGCTTGGCGAGCTCCCTCCTCCTTTCTGCCTTGTATCTAGCAATTCGCTCTGCCTTGGTCTCTGGGGCCGAACTCTGCAAGGTGCCTATTCCATCCATTTTTGAAGTTCAAGGGTTCCAACGCAGGTGGGAAGTTTCCAAGGTGCTACTTCAGTTTGTCCTGAACCAGATATGTGGATCGGCTTTCTTGTAGATCTCCCTTGACAGCGGTGTCTCACTCCATTTAAGTCATCCCAGTGCTGCAAACAAGAGAGGCAGAGAGGAAGACATCATTAAAGCGTCATGATCCTAGAGTACAATTTCAGATGACGGGCACTCTAAACCTGTGTAAAGCTGTGTCTCCAGCTTTCATAGGAAACTGGCTCAGCTGTAGAGCTGCGAGCCAAGCCCTGCCCCAGCTAACACCACCCCCACACACACACACACACACACCACCCCCACTGTGAGAATGATGTCAGCCAGCTCTGCTCAAAGACAGCCGACCACCGCAGCGAGACTCTCATATAACCTCTGTTCCATCGACTCACTTGGAGCCAGTTGGAAAGAGGGAGGAGAAAAAGTGAAAAACACACATCAAATAACATCTTCATCCCATTTCATTCCTCACTTAGCAGAGGCTTTGTGCCAGCGCCAATCACCTCTTCCACATTATCCCACCTCATGATGGTTCTGTATTTACTACAAACAAAAGCAGGAGGAACTTTAAATTGCCGCCGAGTGTGGATGTGTTTTTAGCCCACTGAGAGACTGAGTATACCAGTCTATTCCCAACCAAATGCATGCTGGGACAGGCCACAGGCTTCAGCTTCCCTGTCCACATCCAGCCCAATAAACAAAGTGAACTTTTAAATAACTTTTCAAATTTAATTCAGGAAGCTGAGTTGAGCTCATTTCGTTCCATTAAGTATTAACGCAGAGCAGAATAAAAACCACACATATGGCTCGGGACGCGGAGGTTTTGAAAACTGCACTCGCATAAATGCATCGCCAGCTGTCAACGGGTGATGATAAAAATATGCGTGCGCCGCTTCTGATCGCACCAAACCAAACACGGGGGCTTTTCCACAGACATTTCTCTCACTTACGATGCTTCGGGGGCTTCTGTCCGAGGACGGCCAAGGACAAGAGAAATGATAAAGAGGAGGTACTGTATATTTGTATTAAGAGAGGGGCAGAGGTTTGAGGTAGCCCCTGGCATCCCTCAAATTACAGGGCATTCAGAACATTGGTTCTCACATTTATGATCCAGGAACAGGGGTAGGGGAGAAATATATAAATGAAAAGTGCTGTGTGTCTGGACAATGTTAGCAATGAGAGACAAAATAGGGAGGGTGAAGAATGGGTCGAGGCAAGAGGGAATAGAAGAGTGATTCTGGTCATAAGGTGGAATAAATGAGCTGCCTTCTCTGTAACGATGACAAATTTGAACCAATGTCAAGTGCACCCCCGACCACCTGCTGGGCCATAAAACTAACCCGGAATCAGGACTCTTTAAGGTCCCCTTAAAACAAATATGGCTTTGAAATATTACACAGGAAATAAGTGTATATGTCGGGGGATGTGTGTGTGTGTGTGTGTGTACATGTCTTCACCTTGACCTCAACTATCCCGCCTCCACCTAACATAACAGTGCTTGGCTAAACAGTGCCTCCCTTGTGTAGATTTAAATTTAGTCTAACCATAAAATGTAACTCTGCAGGACGCCGTGTATTGAGCACCGGAGATGTCCAACACACCTTCACGCTGGGAAATGTATGCTCTGCGCCACGCAAAACTAAATTCACCATCTGTTCGTTAAATTAACAAAGCAGCGCCAAGCACGTACTATTCCAGGTATAGTGCAGCGACAAGTACCCATAGCCAATTAAACTTAGCCAGAAAACACGCTTAAACATATTTTAGGAATGAAACCAGGATCAGCTGCTAAAGCTTTGAGAAAGGAAGTCAGTGTATAATATAAAAACCCAACGGCCTATCAAATACGCAGGCATAATCAATTGGTAGCGATAAATCCCCTTCTAGCCAGTCTCAAGCCTTCAAGAGCTCCGCAGCCCAATAACAAAATGATGTCATCGGGGTTAAAAAGCATAGCGTTTCAAGATAAGGTTTGCTTTGGTTGTGTATTCCATGAAATATAAAATGGTAAAAACATCAAATATTATCTCAAATTGAAGCAGCAGCCGTTTTCCTCATCAAAACCTAAAGCAGATATGTTTAACTTGACTTGTTTTTGGGGGTTTAAACTGAATGTCACTCCGAAGCCGGTGAATTGCCTTATGAAGGCAGAACGATCCTGAGTTCGGATGTTGATTTCAGCGCTGTGCACACGCTTACATAACTCACCTAGGTCACTACCTATAAAAGGAGTGCTACACAGTGCGCTAAAGCTCGGTCCGTGGAGACCCGGAACATCGAGGCTGCTTTGTTTGGAAGCTGCTGGTGTTATTTTAAGCAACAAGGGGGACTGAAAACACAGTTGTTCGTCATACAAGAACAATTATCATCCCTATCAGTGAAATGTGAACTCACTCGGGAATTTGTTTTTTTACACTGCAAGAACACCCCAAGGTGTCTTTACCTATTTATGGGTATTTCCTCAGAACAGACAAGTGGAGCAAGCAGAGACGTGCAGGAGGACCAGACCACAGCAGGACGGCTCTGAATGCGCTCTAATGTGCTTGTATTGATTCAGTGAGTGGTAATGAAGGTGGAGGGGGAAAACCACTTACTGCACTCAGTGTCAGACTTACCACAATGCTTTGTTTCTCTGACGACAGTGCGTCTGTCTTGCTCAGTATGCGGTTATACCAGTCCTGCCTGCTAAATCATGGCAATATGATTTCTGCTCCTCTAGGGCATGTAAACAAACAGTCCGTTTCCAACCACTGAAGTTGTTCTCTGACCTTTTGTTGCCCGTTGGGAGTTGTTCCTGACGACGAGAGGAAGATCTGTCGCAAACAAAGGCCAAACGTGTCACTTCCTGACCCATATCCTTTCTTCATGAATACTCGACTAATCAGGAAATGTTACTCATGAACCTGGCAAATGTCCCAAAACTCTCGAGGGACGGGATGGGTGAGGGCAGTGAGAAAACTTTGAATGGGTTCAACAGCCAGACATCCCATTCGCTTTCAAAACAGTATCAGATTTAGTGTCACCATTTCCTCGAATAAGTCTAAGTGCTCCATGATGGCCCCGTTTTTTAAATATTTACTGCTCTGCAAAGACCTCCAGTGATTATAAGCGGTTACTTTGGATTACATAACAGGCCTGTTCTACATGACGAATGCAATCGACCACAAAGGCAGAAGTTGCAAAAGCCAAGACGGGTTGAAGGTTATTTAACAGTATTAATTATACTAGTGTATTCATACACTTGAACATTCAATGTTTAGGTCAATTTGGTTAAGTTTGCATTTTTACTTCTACCACTAAAACAAGCTGGACATTTCAAATGTTTATCCATTATTTTCAGCTAACTAGTGCAACCATTTAGCCAACAAACTATGTATCTATTACTTTTATTTCAACTGTTTACTTTTAGTTCAGGGTTTAGACCTCTCTGCAATCCTGGTTGGGAACTGCTCACTGTAGTTTAACGTCGTCTGCGGTGTGTTACTGTCTGGTGTTTTAATTTATAAGAACATTTCAAAAGGTGAGTCAGCGAAAAACATCAGATGTCATTATGTCATCGTTACTCACAGCCCACTGTTTGTCATTATCTACACGGGTGAAGCGATGAGAAAGCAGGCTCGTTATGGGAAAACAATACCTGTCACGCATGAGCTCACTGATTTATTCCAAGAGTCAGACAGAAAGCTCGCCTCAGAGGCAAACGCTGACCTGTAGCTCACCGGCCTGTGTATCTTTTCACAATTCACATGTCCACACAAGAGAACAGAGCAGGAATGGAGGCTACACCCGATGCATAAACAGTGGATTTGAATTGAAAGTAGGGGATTTTGACTGTATAAAAAACTCACGGACTTCCTCTTCAAGAGAAGCTTGAATAGACAAAGAGACGACCTGTTCACCTCTTTGGCCAAATGTTTCAATAGTATGTCAGTTGAACACTACAGAATTACCCAATGTTTCTAGTATCTTGAAACTCTGAAGTACTGTAACTCTTGAGTAATCCCCACAGAGATTTACACCTGGAGCTGCTTGCATCTCGACAGCTATGTTTAAAATGTACGCCTCTGTAGAGTTGCGCTCACACCACACAAGGTATCTGTTCAGCGGCAACGCTTTGTGTAAAGACACGTTGCCACCGTAGACCTTCAGGAATCCACATAAAGTCACTGCAAACATCAGCGAGACTTTCCTTCGCTGTACAAACAAAAAAAAAAAAAAAAGAGAGGAGGCGGTTAAAGACACAATGCGGCTCCAAATTAAAAAAACACACGGTCATTGGAAAGGGAAGAGGGTGGAGAGTAGAAACTTTACTCCACTGAGAAAACCAGGTGCCAGTGCTTGGATTGCAAAGACAGACCGGCGGTGCATTTTTAAGAAACGTTTGTCAACCGGTGCAGCTCTGGAGAGGTTTCAGCCAAGGCCAGGGCTCATAAAAGGAGCAAAAACAAAAGATGGAAGTTTCTTCAATGGCGAAGAAATAGGAGTGACTTTCAAAAGTATTGTTTACCTTGCTTTGATGTTTGCTCACGTAATATGCTTCACTAACTATTCCAAATCTTAGTACCAATGTTGGCCACTGTAAAAATGTTGCATGTTTGTGTGCATTGGTAGTGTTTGACTGCAACCAGGTCATGTGACCAATCATTGACAGCAGATAGGCCCGAGTACGGGTCCTCAGTCCCCAAATCCAATAACTCCATCTTGTAAATTACGTGTCGGCTTCTAGCCGATCCATCCAACCAAACAAATGCACCAGAAACCGGCTGGGGAGGGGCGCGGGGGTCCAGGGTGTGTCACGCGTTTTTGAAGCCACCCTCATACAACAATCAACCACATACTGAGTGGCCAGTGTGTTTCTCATTAAAAAGCAATCATTCAGCACAAGGCGGTTTAAGTGCTTTGCCTGAAAACCACTGGCGGAGTGAAGTTTTAATTGCAATTGTAGAGGCTCTTCATCCGGCTGAAACGGGCCTCCACTAACAGAGAGCTTCAAAAGGGTGATTCTGAAAAAGGGGGGGGGGGGGGTTTGTCTAACATGGCTAAAGCCCCTCATTCACATGACTCAACTCTTCCCTGACTGTGAGCTGTAAGGAAATAGGAAAAG